CAAAAAAACTCCAGATTGAGAAATTGTTTCAGATTTGCTATAAAGTGATAAATTATTTTTTAATTTACAATATTAAAATAAATTTTCCTAATTAATGTGCATATATATATATATATATATATATATATATATAACTTTATAAGGATTTTTACGTTCTTAATGTAAATTACACAACTGGAAACATAATAAACATTAAATAAAATGAATAGTTTTAAATTAAATTCAGTAAAGTTATTGTAAGAAAAAAATTAGTATAAAAAATAAATAAAATTTTACTCTCTAAAATTTGAAAAAATAAAATATTTTTAATTCATAAAATATTATTTATTTTTATACTAACTTTTTTCTTTGCTTCAAAGACTTCACAGAAAATTCAGCCAAGCTGGCCTTAAGTCTTTTAGACATTCCCTACTTAAAACTTACTCTAACACAAGCAGGTCATTAGGCCAGCTAAATCCACCTATAGTGACTCTGCTTGAAGGACGAAAAGTACCAGCGTTTGATCGTTTATTTCCTACTTGTTTTTTTTTAATTTGATTCTCACTTGTGATTAATAGCATGTCAATTTGGTCATTCTAAAGTAAAAAAGACTGATTTGTTCTCTATTGATGCCAAAAACTTGAGTTTCAGCGTCAGAAGCTGCCTGCCACTATAGGTTAAAGTTAATTAATTAGAAACAGAGCATCACAAGTGAGAAGTTGGAGATGAAATTCCATACAACCAAGCTTGTCCGATCTTTCTGCTCCTCATGAGTCATGACAATCGACAAAGCCAAGAAAATGGCTTAGGAGACAATTAACAACAACTTGCACATATCTTGTAACGCAAACAAATGCAAATTGGTTCTGTTTCGTCGCTGGTCTCCTTCCCATTACTCTTAAAATTCACATGTGAGAGCACGTTTTATGATTGGTGAGGAAGGTAGAGAATGTTTAAATATAGAAAGAAAAAAAAAAAAAAGACAAAGCATGGAAGTGAAGGCAGAAGAGGACCGCGTATATGCACTTTCTCCCTTTTTCGCAAGTCCTTTTTTCTCTACGATGTATTGAAACACTGATCATCATGCTAGGGAACTAACAATTAATACATAAACTTTAAGCCTCTATTGTAATTAGGGTAATGTCAAATATATCTCCACAAAATAATTCTTAATTTTAAGGATCTATTGTAATCAGGGTAATCTTAAATCGACTTGTCTCTAAACTAATTTTGATATGTTTGGATTTTTAAAATTAAGCTTGATACATTTTAGTAACAAATTCAAAATATATTTTGAATTATTAATTTTAACTTGATGCAATTAATTATTAACAATAAAACTTCTTTGCTTAATCAATAGTATTTTGAATAGCATATTAAATTTGTATTTATATTATTTATCTTAATTAAAATACATGTTGTAAAACAACTTTACTTTTAGTTTAATTATACACAATATTAAAGCTTATATATTATACTGATAAATCAATTTGACTTGAACTTGTTCCATGCATTATCATATTGCATATGGACCACTGTAAATTCATCTCTAACACTTTTTATAAATATCTAACACTTTAAATAAAAATAAATTTTTTATATTTTAAATACAAATATTTAATGTTTTGTTTACTAATCAGAATAATTATTAAAATTATAAACAAAATTTAAAGTTGTAAAGTATCTAAAATATATTAGTTAAATGATGGATTTATTTATTACATTTTGAAATATTTATTCATAAATTAAATTTTATTTGGCTTTTAAAAAAAATTCAAATTTCGGAGCTGAATCCAAATAAATTACAGGGACACAGATGCATGGTCTTAGAGCTATGAGTCACTAGTTATGTTACAGATTCCGGCCACGTGGCATTCTAGCGTTCTAACGTTCTCACTTCAATAATTATGATGTTTCGACGTAAAGGATGGTGCAAAAAATAACATATACAATGACAAAAACACCTGCCTAGCCCGTAGACTCCTTTCCTTTACATCATAGTTAGAAGTTAGAACCCCCGTTTTCTTCAAAACTGCCATGTTATCTCATAGGCACAGCCACCCCCACGCACTCGATATTTAATTCATTAAAATTAATAAAAATAATTATATATCATAAATATATTTTTTTATTTTAAAAATATTATAGTATTAAATAGTTAAATCGGTATGTGTTATATATTAAATAAATAAATAAATTTATTTTCATTAGTTAAGAGTGAAAAATTTGTTAACACCAAATTTATAATAAATAAAAATAAAATTTTTAATGATTAATATATTTTAAAAAATATTAATCATTATTTTTTATAAATAGGAGAGTTAGTGTTTCACTCTACACTTTATCTTCTCTTCTCATTTTTCTTATTATACAAACTGTTGTAAAGAAGCAATTTCAGAGTAAAATGTATGTTAAGGAAACAACTTGCACGAGTAATCAATTGATGTCTGTACTGCACATAGAAGTGAAACGCCAGTAATAATAACAATAATAATAATCTACATGGTATCTATAAAAACATGCATATAGCTAGGTAGGTAGAAAGTGACTCATAAACTGTAAAAAAAATTGCATCGTTGTGGATGTGAGCTTAAGAAAAATGCTAGTACGTCCGATCTGGGATTAGCTTCTAAAATAATTTTTAATTAAGCAGAATATTACTGTGTCTGCACGTTTTGTTTGTGGAAAAAACCCGTGAGAATTAGTGAATGGAATCTTTCGACAGAGCAAGAGCAGCATGTTCTAAGGAATGAGGAATAATAGTTTATTAATTGTAAGTGAGAACTTTTCAACGCATGATCATTCCAGTTAATTCCAGCCCTGGAAGATCAGATAGTTAATTATTGTGGCTGATTTATGATAGGATCGATTTTGGAAAAAGAAAGTATTAGTTATCGACTTCATCTTAAAAGCTTACTACATTATTTCACGAAGAACATGAATATATAAGAACTAATTTTAATATTTAATGAGCACATGAGTAAACTAGGTTGCAGCATATGTGATCAATTGATGGAGGACATATACAGGTGCATCTGGCCTCCACCTTACGCTCCTTATCAGTCAACAGTTATCATTATTTTGAAGAATCAGTCAACAGTTATGAGTAGGACAATGTGCTTGTGCTTCTCCTTTTTCATTTTTTGAGTAATATATATGTCAAGAGATTTTCAATATGTTAAAAGCAATTAGCAGGAATTAGGTAGGATTCTCATCAGTTATGTGTAAAAAAAAAACTTTTAACTTTACTAACAAAAAATAGATTGCAAGATTTTGAAATCCATAAAAAAAAAAGTCAAGAGAAACCAAAAGAACTTTAAGATTTTTTTGAAAGGGAAATATGAAAATGTAGGAGTGGGATAGTCTAAAAAATAGATTTGTAGGGCAAAAACAGTTGGGTGAGAAATGGACCCTACGTTGAGTAAAGGAACTACAGTGAGAGGAAGGGAAGGGTACCTGATTTGCACTGCAAGGGAACCATATTAAGACACGTGTTGAAAACTGGGTCCTGTACGCATGTGAGATGTCTGCCGACGCCCGTTTTCTTGCGCCGCTTGTAGTGGCTGTTTTGCTTATTCATATACAGATAACACAAACATATATTCTTATTTTTATACACATTTTTCCTTTTATTTAAAGCGACTCGTGCGTTCTAAGGCTTACATATATGATAGAAATATACAATTTTTTTTAAATTAATAAAAAATTATATTTAAATAAAATTAAAAAATATAATTTAAGGAATATGATGATAAAAAAAATAATAATTGGATTATTACATACATTTGTTCAATAGTTTTGACATTGATACAATTTAATGTAAAGGTTTCGATCATCCCCATCACCTCACATGTACTGTATAATTTGTTTTTTTTTTAATTTAAACATTTAAAGTATTTCATGTAAAAATTTCAATCTAATGTAATCGAAATATTAATGTCAATAATTTAAATCGTGATATATTTTTAAGAAAAATTTTCATCCCCAGGTGATGCAATTATAATCATGGTACTGACTTACAACAATTTTTAAAAAATAATTATAAAACTATAACGAGACTATACTCTTTAAAATGTTAAGATAAAGTAAAAAAAAAATGGAACGTTTTGATAAAATATTAAATTAAATTGATATTTATGTGTAATATATGTATCATAAATAATTGTAGAATAATGTAAATAATTATGGAAAGTTGGGGTACAGCAGTGAGAATTTTTCAGATTGTAAATATTTTCCCATATATTGAGATAGGATGTGTAGAATTAATGTTCGTTTCAGATGAGCCCAATGGGCAAGCCCAACGGATGGACTAAATGCATGATCCATTATCCACCTGTAAGCCCAACCCTGACTATGTGAGTCCTAATATGTTTTGGAATATTTCGGCTTTTCCACGTGAAGCTCACACCTCAGAGCTATGATTGGACGGTAGCACCAAATTTGATTACAGTCAAATGACTTTGACTTGTTCATCTTTTTATTTGAAATTGACTTTGACTTGTATGTCAAATCTTATAAACAAGTCCCTCTCAACAGAATTAAGCATACATAGTGACACAAACTGGCGTTTGTATCAGTTCACAATTTAATAATTTAATTATAATCGAATAAATAACATTTAGTACATTTTTATATATTATATATCGTATTAAATAGTAATTTTACATAAATATTTTTAATATTTATCCCTTTAAACAATTTTTACAGACCATCAAAAGAAATGTTTGATACTCCTGAACCACGATCTCCCTCCCCGAAGTAAAAATACAAACCGCAATCCCTCTTCTTCAACCTAATGCATCAAAGTTTTGTTTAGACACTGGCGAACAAAGGAAAGAGAGAAAAAGCTGTAAACAGTAAGACAGAAAACAGAACTCACTCATTCCGTCCCTGGCATTGCCCTAGCCCAAAGAACAAGAAACACAGAGCACGGTACGGCTACATTTGGTCATCAAGATGAAACCGAGCCCAGCCATCGATTAACGTTACCACCTTCCTTCCGAACCACCACCGCACTCATCATGGATTTCAGCCACGACTCTTCCAGCTTCACCAAGTTCAACTCCGCCCTCACCGCGGGCCTCTTGAACCCAATGTCGCCCCCACCCCCAATCGACAAGGCCCGATCCAGCCCAACCCTCTTCGAAATGATGGCCACCGAGCCCGATCTCCATCCCCGAACCCACACCCACGCCCCCACGGCCCATCAAACCCATACTCTGACGTTGCAGCGAATATCCGACATGCTGGGGAATCGCAGCCCCGGTAACCAGTTCAACGACCCTTCCTCCAGCGACATTGACCTCACCCTATCCTCCAAAGACGGCATCACCGTTTCCATCAAACTCCACCGTCATATCCTCGTCGCCCACAGCAGATTCTTCGCCGTCAAACTCTCCGACCGCTGGGCTCAGCAGCAGGGCTCCACCTTACCTTACATTGTCGAAATCGCCGACTGCGACGACGTTGAAGTTTACATCGAAGCCTTAAGTTTGATGTACTGTAAGGACCTTAGGAAGAAGCTCATGAGGGAGGATGTCTCCAGAGTCCTCGGTATCTTGAAGTTAAGAGGTAACTAACTATGTGTGCTCTGTTTCATTCGCTACGTCAACTCTAGGGTTTGTTAGGTAGAGACTAGAGACTTTGAATTTGGGATTTCGACTGTTTATCGAAGTTCTGTTGCGATTAGGTTTCTGCTGCGATTGGATTTGATGCTGGGGTTTTGTCTTGTTTGGAGTACTTGGAAGCTGCTCCTTGGGTGGAGGATGAGGAAGATAAGGTGGCATCGCTTCTTTCCGAGCTTCGTCTTGAAACTGTGGGAGCTGGTGAGGTTATGAAGAGGGTTTCGTCTCAAGTTTCCAACGGGAATGAAGAGGGGAATGACAATGAGCAAGTTCTTCTGAAACTTATTCGTGTTGTTCTTGAAGGCAAAGATGAGAAGGCCAGGCGTGACATGAAAGGGTTGGTGTCAAAGATGCTTCGTGAAAATTCAAATCAGAATGATCTTCGGAAGGAGTCGTTGTACTTGGCATGCGACGACTGTATGCAATTGCTTCGTTGCCATTTTCTGCAGGCTGCAGCTTCAGACCTGCTTGATGTTAGTCAAATTGCACGGCAGGCGGATAACTTGCATTGGATCTTGGACATTTTGATTGATAGGCAGATTGCTGAGGATTTCCTCAAGACATGGGCATCTCAATCGGAATTGTCGGAAGCACATTGTAGAGTGCCTGCGGTTCACAGATTTGAGGTTAGCAGAGTCACTGCGAGGTTGTTTGTTGGGATTGGGAAGGGACAGCTATTGGCTTCGAAAGATGTCAGGTGTTTACTTCTGAAGACGTGGTTGGTACCTTTTTACGATGACTTTGGTTGGATGAGGAGGGCATCCAAAGGACTTGACCGGCACCTAATTGAGGACGGTCTTAGTAGCACCATTCTCACTCTCCCACTCTCCTCGCAGCAGGACATCTTGCTTGCTTGGTTTAACCGTTTCTTGAATTCTAGTGAAGATTGCCCGAATATACAGAGAGGTTTTGAAGTTTGGTGGAGAAGGGCTTTCTGGAAGCGAAATGGGGAGCAAGAACGGAAACAACAATTACGAATAACAACAACAATTGAAAACTCTTGAAAGCTGACAGCTGCAGGATGCAGGAATTAACAGCAGTTTACTGGGTGTGTCCCCTTTTATGGTGATTATTTTATCTGGTTCCTCTTGGTGATCATTATTTAAATCTATGCCAAAATCCTATATAAATGATCTTAGGTTGATAGTTAGTAGTTACTTGGAGGCAAAAGCTTCTATCTTTTGCGGGTGACTCCATATTGACTTCTGATGTTTGATTCTTTTCTTATTGATGGTAAATTTCAATGAATCAAAAACTGAATTATACATATCTTGAGTACATCTTGCACAATGAATAGCAATGTACCATGTGGAAGCTGACAGAACTAATTTCCTAACTGATACCTAACAGACTATCGAATTACAATGACCAACTTAACTGAGTTGCTGACAGAATCATAACTCATCACATTCTGTAATAGTTTCTGTTCTGTGACATAAAACTGTTTTACATTTCTACAAACGTAACCTCGCATGATTATTTTATCCGATTCCTGATTGTGATTATTACCTAAATTTTCTGTCAAAACATGGCAGTTCAGTAATGAAATCGATTAATGGATTGAAATGTGTTACATTCAAGGCAACTTTACGTAAAGTCATCCTATTTCATAATTTGCAAGTAAATTTGAGAATTTTCTTATTTTTGTTATTGTAGCGGAAGTTCATAATATTCCTTCTGCACGCGAGTTGTATATACTTTTGCTAGGCATGTGCCTCAATACTTTTCAGCATATTCTGTCAAAACTCTTACCTACTAGTTAAATTATCTGTAAACAATACTCTATGGTTCCATAGACATTTCTTTTTGTTCTGCCAAACTTAATTTTGTTTTTGCAATACATTATATTTTTGAAGAAAATATTCAGGCAATAATATCTTATTTCTGCAGTGTATTTTTGTCAATTTAAATCAAATTCCTGAACAAGAGTTCAAGTTCATGGAATTTCTGTGAAGAGTGAAGGTAGTTTTGGCCTTCAATTAATCAGGTTCGTGGCTGGTTAAGATAATGAATTGACTTCTGGGATGTTAAATCATGAAGCTAATTTCTTTGGCATCCAGTAGCTTTGTTATGCTTCGAAACCTTGGCTTTGCTAATGAATTTAGACGAATTCTTGATATGATTAAATATATTCAATCCATTGTTTAGGAAATAACTTAGGTGTACAAATACAAACATTGCTTTTGGAATATAATTGGCTTCTTTGTTGTGGATCATGGATTCTTCAATTCTATACTGTCAACAAAGTTTGAGAGATCCAAAAGCTCAATAATCATGGCACGGGCGTATAGGCAATGGTGGGAATATCCGTTCTTTTCACCAAGAAAAATGAAGGAAAGAAGCAGCTCTTCTTTTTTCTTTTCGGACACTAGACAGCTGAAAGTTATGAATTTGTGTCTTGTGAACGAAAAAATAGGCATTAGAAGAGTTTTGTACTCTTGAATGGACCCAATATAACTTCTGAACACCATACGTGTAGGATTAAAATAAATAAATAAATTCACGAATTATTTCAGTTTGAAATTTTGAATTGTAACTGTTTTTATCTTACTAACCCTAACCCTTGCAGAAGTTTTCTTTTAAAAAGAGCTTACAAATGAATAATCCGTCGCCCCTAAATACAAACTCTTGGATTACTCTCAGCCAAGAAGTTTCTAATACATGCATAATATTATTTACACTATTGCTAAGCTCTAGACATGCATGTAGATGTTAATATCTCTACATTTTATTTCATAATAAAGACTTATTTTGGCTTGGTTAATATAATTTAAAATAATAGATAATATTGTCCTTTCATTTTTAAAATTGGACAGATGTCACTCTCCCCCATCTATGCATAACAGTTGATGAAATATCGAACAAAATGTCAAGAAACAAAGGGAGCATGTCAACCTTTCTCATTTTATATTCGTGAAAATTTAGATTGAAAATATGGTAATTTGATTGATGTTTTTGTTTAATATCTATGACCTTGCTACTGAATTGAATCTTTACATTAAATTAAATAACAACAAAATACTTTTTTCCATTAAAATATATAAATTTTAAGTAGGTCTCAAATTACAATGGGGATGTAGCTCAGATGGTAGAGCGCTTGCTTAGCATGCGAGAGGTACGGGGATCGATGCCCCGCATCTCCAATTTTGATAGCTTATTGCTATAATTAGTGTACCTTTTAAAATAGCAGCATGAAACAAGGACAACAATTATGGCTAGCCCAGAAGCGCTCTGATGATTCTTTTTTTATTGGTCAATAGATTGACTTTAGCAAGGTCCACACCCATCGTGGATTATATATATATCATTATAAATCAATTTTTTAAGAAATATGATCACCTTTACCTTTTTATTACATTCGCAAATTAAATAATTATGTATTGAAGGCTTGTTCGTTTAAAGGCTTACGATTGCATTTTTCCTTCCACAATATCAGCGTCTAAATCCCTTAAAAATGCATAAAAACAGTGTCAGGGTTCTGTTATTTCCAAATAAATTGTATTTCCTTTTCGATTTTGCCGAAATGACAATGAAAAGTTTGGGTTTTCTAATTAGTTTAGGACGAAAGAAACATTGGTTAGAAGGATCTGTCAGCCTAAAGAATAGCAGAGAGGAAGAAATCTTTGTTAGTTTCAATGTTGGGAGTACCTGAGAAATTGCGTAGATATTTGTAGTCAACTTAGCCAACAAGCATTGCTTTACCAACTATATTACTATACAATAGCCATTCTAGGAAACTAACAAACTACTTAATCCTATCCAACCATCTATTAGGCATCAGCATTTACTTATTCCTTTATTTATTTTTGGGTACAACTTTTTCAACTCATCATTACGCTCACAGAATTTACTCAATGTGGTAATTTAACCGTTGAATATGACTCAGGTTGCATTAATTTCGGATCACCCTCCTTGTTCACATTTGCTTGTTGCTTCATTGAGGTGGGGAAAGAAGGAATTCACCATGGGACAATCATAATTTAGATCAGCAGGACTTGCAAATTTTTGCCTTCACGTGTATCAATTAGCAATGAGATGAGACATCCAAACCCAAAAGCCAAATTAGAAGCCTAGAAGATAGGAATTAAAAGGATCATGGATAAATAAAGACATAGTTGTTTTCTTACCACTCCTGATCAATTAGCATTTCATCAGTCAATCCAAACCGTCTTAACTCTTCTTCTTGGTGATGCGCCAGTAAGCTATACCTGTGTTTTCAATGCCTACTCATCAGTCTAGATTTGCATAAGCTATTCATTAATATGGAAACTAAATAAAGGTTGATGTACCTTCCACCATAACCCTTTTCCATGACAAGCATATCTCCGTTGCCCAAGTTGGTGAGACCCTCGAACTGTTGAACCGTCCACTTGTACCACCTCATCAGAAATACTCTCAGTGTTAGACCGTGCGACACGATCACCAAGTTCATCTCTGTTCTCCTCTTCCCAGGTGCCTGATACCGTCCGATATTGATGTCTGTTCTCAGCGTTTCTCTGAATCCTTGTACCATTATCATATATACATCAGTTCTCTCAACTTAACTTTTCAAGTTTCCATTCCCAAAAGCACTTTTTTACCTGTGATTCTATCATATACATCAGCCGCCGATTCTCCATCTGGAAATCTGTAAAAGAAACGACCGTATAGCTTGCGTAACGCTTTTTCCACTCGCATCTTTTCTCTGTTTTGAAAATTCCCTTTTTCAATGAATAAATCAGGAAATTAGTAGTGAACTCAACTGGAAACATGATACTGGTGAGCAGAACTTAAATAACACGCTCATTTTCATATTTTAATCAAAATGGGAATTATAACAAAAACTACGGAAAGGCCAAAGTTGTTAATACCGAAATCTTGTTCTCGAATGCGAGGCTCTTCTCTGAAGCCAGCGATTCTGGAGCGTTCAAAGGGACGAGCGAGGCTCTGCAACGTTTCGAGGGTCCTTCTGTATGGGGATACATAGAAGTAAATTTGCCAATTTTCGTCACCGTCTTTCTCAATCATCTTCTTGATTCTGTGGCCACATTCCTCTGCTTGGGCCTTGCCTTTGTCAGTGAGGGCTATCTTGGGATCGGGTATTCTGGTGTACACGCTCTCATCCACGTTTCCTTGGCTCTCTCCGTGCCTAACCAGGATTATTCTTCGAGGCCTGGGTGGGACGAAGGGGGTGGAGGGTGCAGAGTTGATGAGAGGATTCTTCTCTGGAAATCTGGCATGGCCGTTGCTGTTTAGTTTGATGGGTTCTGTTTGGTTGTGGCAGCATTGGACTATTAAGGACGTGTTTGTGTTGGACTTGGAATTGGGTTTGGTTTGAAGTGGTTTTTGTTGAGATGAGGGGAGTGATGGATAATATGGGAGAGGCAGCACAGCCATGCCCATGGTTTGGTGGGTAATGGTTAATTACTTAATTTACGAGAAGCCGAAATGCAAATAATAAGCATGAATATAATGAAAAAAGAATATGCTTGTTGTAAGTTCCAATGGCACTTGGTCTCATTTTTCTGACTTCAAAAATGCTCATTGTGTGTTGCCATAGCTTCATTTTCACCCACCAACAAATAAGCAATTACAGCCTCAAGTGTCTAATGAGTGTTTGCGGTGGAGATGAATCAACGGTTCTCAACTGTTTTGGATGAGTGGGGATTAGACCCAGTCCCTCACCCTTATCATGGAATGACATATGGCACCACAGCTGCGGCTCCTTATTCTTTCTTTTGTTCTATTCTATGTTTCAGAAACCCAAATTTTATGTGAGTAAAATAATATTTCCTAGTTAGGAGGAACTTATTGGCATACATCACAATTTTAGTTACGTTTCTTTTTGGGTCATGGACCTCAACAGTGACTGCCCAATACGGTGAAAAAACAAACTAAGCTAATAGCTTCATGACCCACTATTGACTTTGTGTAATTATAGTAAAAAACTACTTTAGTTTGGGCCCTTGTTCAGTGCTTAGAGACTTTAACCGGATTTGACATATGGCTATTGGATTCGCTATCAGATCTTCCAAACAGGTAAGGCTTTTTCTAATCAGTGTGGCTCTGATTGCAAAGCAGATGGTGTATGTACATGGAGCAATGCACTACTTTTATTTATTTTTATCTGTTTTTCAAGAAAATATTTATTCTTATATATATATATATATATTATTTTTAATTTTTAAAACATATAAATTATTATTTTCTCATTATACTTTTATAAAAAGAGAAAAAATAATAGGGTACAAATATCAAAATAATAAATAAGAGAAATCAAATAACATATAAAAAATTATGAATGGTTTTAATACAAATGAGAACATCAATTATTTTTCATTCTTATGGGTTTGAAGATTAATTCACTATTCAAATTAATTTAAAGGTGAAATTAAGAGTTACTTTATCTGTTTTTTATATTTTGTACACTTAGGAGGATATAACATTTATTGAAAAACATAATTAATAGTTTTTTATTTATATTATTTTTAATATTTTAAGATGATTTTCACTATAATAGGAGTTTGATCTGAAAAGTGTTGAGTGGAGAACTTGTAAAAAGATTCACTAAATTGAAGTTGACCTCTATGGTTGGCTATCTAGTCCTCCACGTGATGCATGTGCATCTCTAGCCTTTGAAGTTACTCTATCATTACTGCCATGGATGTTTTGATGTGTAGGTGCTGATTTTGGTTAAGCTGGTGGAGGACCTCCTAGATCTTAGGGTTGTTCATTTCGGTTGATGCAATTTTTTTTTATCAATGGATGACTTAATCCTCTCAGAAGGTGCTACATCAACCCTATAAACACACATAAAGTAATGATAAGGACCAAAAACTCCAAAGATCTAGTGGCTTGGTTTGGATTTAGATTTGATGTAACATATTTTATGTTTATATTTAATGTTTTATTTTGATTAATAAACACTTTTTATATGCTTTATTTTTATATTTTTTTTTACCATTTTTTACTTATTTGAATAAATTGAGCCTATTACAAATAAATGCTTTAATTTCATATTTTCGGTTATTCTGACCTCTGATTACTTTTTTGGCCATAACTTTTTCTACAGATATCATTTTTGGCTGATTCTAGTTGCATTGGATTTTACACATCCAGGGTTTCAAAATGCATATATGGATCGCTGTATTTGAAGTTACTTTCAATTTTTTATAATTTTTTGAAGTTGAGACATATTTGCTGAATATTGTTACGAGATTGTATTTGAACCCTTATTATTTAATAATTGTATTTGAGCTTTTAGATATTATTGAGGCCTCCATTTTGGCCACTTAGTTTACCCTAATCAAAACTTATAAATAGACTAATAAGATTTTGAATTAGGGGAGGTGATTAGACACTTTGAGATTTTGAGATTTGGCCTAAATAAGAATATTTATTTTTACTTTCTCTTAAACTTTCTTGTTCTTTTTCTCATTCTTGCATGAGTTAAGCATTTTGATGGAAGGCTAAACATCTCGTTTAATCCACGGAGTCCAAATGCTATAATTCTAACTTGAGTTCTAAGCTAATTGCTCTGAGTTTATTCTTTTTTTCTCTCTAATTTCAGAATTTTTTATTGCGATCGTGATTGATTTTTCTGTTGTTAGATTTTAAATTAGGACTCAATTGATGCTCTAATTTGATAATTAATGTGAATTAAGTTAAATGATTATTTGATTTAATTTGTAACTCTATTCAATTAGGTTATTCAATTGAATTAATAATTGAATTTGATGATTGTTCAAACGTGGATTTAAATTTTTAGATACTGGATAGTAAGAGTTACACGTAATTGGTATTCTGTGAATTGATATTTCTTAATTCATTTTTTACTCACTTTAATTCTGTTCGTAATTTAATTTAATTAATTGCAATTTTTAAAATCCCAAAAACCTTATTTGCATTTTTTAAAAGAAAACCTAAAATTAAATTTGACTGAGAATGTGTCTCCATGAATTGACCTAGGTTTGACTCTATACTACAAAATCTTTAGAAAACTTAGTTGTTTTGATAACGACTCGGCAATTGTCTATCAAATTGGCGTCGTTATCGGGGACGCATTGTCGATTTTGATTCATTTTAGGGTTTAGTATTGCGTTTTCACTTTCTAATTTGTAATTTTATTTTTGTCTTTGTTTCGTTTCTGTTTCTATTGCTGCGATTCAATATTCTTATTTATTTGTTTTATAGAGTGTGTTTAATTTCAATTTTTGTCAATTTGTTTTTGTTTCATTAAATTTTGTTGTTTTAGTGCATTTTGAATTTTGGATTTATATTTTATATTTTATATTTTTTAAATATTAGATTAATAGCGTATTGTTATAGAATTGCATGATTTGCAGAGATTTTGTGTAGATCTCATAGAGATAAGGAGCAGCGAACAAGGATCCCTCAAATTTAGTTTAGATTCATTTTTTAAAAAAATGAAATTTAAAATTTAAATTATTTTTAAATTTAAATTTTAAATTATAGTTAAGATTTGATTAGATTAGATTTAGTTTGTTTTGGGGTTAAAGATAGGATTAGTTTTTTTTAGATAGATTAGTTTTAAATTTAAATTTTGAAAAAAAAACAAACTTTATCTAATCAATTTTTAAATTTAAATTTTGATTTTTTTATTTATTTAAAAAAATTTATTTTGAAAATAAAATTTAATTAATATTTTTCTAAAAAATAAAATAAAAAAATAAAATAAAAAAATAAACTAAAGTAATTTCAATTTCTATTTTTTTTATCGCATTTTCTATTGTAATTTATTTAGTTGAATTTTATTTTTATTTTTTTCCTTGCACATTTTTATTATTTGATTTGTATAAGATTTGTTTGTTTCCTCACATACCACTAATCATGCATAATATGGGCGATGTCCTATACCTGAGTCTGAGTAAACTTTAGGTTTAGTAGAGTTGTGTAATGATTACAATTTGGATGAACGTCCTGTTTGTCTATCACAAGAACTTCAGCTAGAGCTTATCTTATCTATATAAGTCCTTTCATCTAGTAAACTACCTACTGATTGAGGATAACTTTATGAAATAGATTTTAACTCTAGTGACCTTCTATCTTTATGCTTACAAACTACTCAAGGTAAGAATGCATGTTGTAACTCATTAGGTTAAAATTCTAGGAGTGATAGAACATTGTGGGAGCATATTCTTATATTATATCACTATATTTTTTTATTATTATTTTGTGAGTTGCGAAAATTATTGATATTATATTATTCATTTTACCCGCGATGCTCCTCAAAATCACAAATTCTATCGTTTAGATCACTTTTCTAAATTTATTTTTATTTTATTTTCAATATTTTTTTATTTAAATTTTTATTTTATTTTTGATTTAGGACAAGAAAAAAAATCACAAAAAAAATAATTTTTTAAAAAAACAAATCTTAAAAATAGAAAATAGCACAATTAGGTTGACTTTGTTGATCCTGTTGACTTCGACCGATCTACTTCTTGGTGCATGACTAGAACCAATTCTGGTCAATTACTCGCATTTGATCTTGAGATTGAACACACTTGAAATAGGTTGAATAGACTTAAATTGGAAGGTAGTGTGCATAGTCATTGTAGTGATATCCTTGATAGTGTTGGTGTGCACTCTAATTGTGATCATTTTGACAGTATATCTGTGCATTTTGATATTATGACTAATAATTAACACGAAATAACTCTTAAAGAATTGGCTGCACTAGATGTCATATACCAACCATTAAGCATCCAATATCCTGATGTAGATGCTTCATTTGAGTTAAAATCCGGTCTAATCCATTTGTTATCTAAGTTTAATGGTGTGCAAGTGAAGATCCTCATAAGCATCTGAAGGAGTTTCACATAGTTTGCTCAATAATGAAGCCTCAAGGAGTTCCAGAAAATCACATTAAGTTGAAGGCCTTTCCATTCTCCTTAGATGGTGCAATGAAAGATTGGTTATATTACCTGCAGCCAGGGTTTGTCACTTGCTGGATAGACATGAAGAGTGTGTTCCTGGAGAAGTTCTTCCCTGCTTCCAAAGCAGCCACAATAAGAAAAAAGATTAGTGGCATTAGACAGTTCAGCCAAGAAAGCCTCTATAAGTACTGGGAGAGATTCGAGAAGCTATGCACAACGTGTCCACACCATCAGATCAGTGACTAGCTAGTTATTCAGTACTTCTATGAAGGCCTTGCTCCAATGGAGAAGAGTATGCTTGATGCAGTAAGTGGTAGAGCTCTCGTGGACAAGACACCATCTGTAGCTAGAGCACTGATTGACAACATAGCACAGAACTCTCAACAGTTTAATACAAGAGCCATGGCACCAATGAGAGAGGTGCATAATGTGCAGCAACCAAACCATATGGTAGCAAATTCTAGCAGACTTGAGAGCAGAATTGAGGAGCTTACTACTTTCGTGAGACAGCTAGCTGTTGCGCAACAAACTGTTCTACAAGGAGGGGTGACTAGAGACTGTCATATTTGTTTCTTCATAGAGCACACTTCAGATTGTTGTCCTTTGTTACATGATGGTAGCCAACAAGAGCAATGTACAATTCCAACAGAATGTCAATGCCTCTATTCAAGACCTGCAGACACAGATTAACCAACTTGCTACCACTGTAAACCAGTTCAAGTCTCAAGGTTTTAAACAACTCTCTTCTCAACCAGAGGTTAATCCCAGAAATGTGACTGCCGTAATATTGAAGAGTGGGAAGGAGCTGTCAGGCAACCAGAAAGATGAAGAGGCACAAGATGATGTGGAGACAGAGAAGCAGCAAAACACAGAACAACAAACTACCTTTAGCAGTTCAAAAATTATGCAGAAACCACCTGTTCCCTTTCTGAACAGAGTGGTCAAGCCAAGGCCACTAACAAACTTTGATAAGGAGCTTTTTGAGACATTCAGAGGAGTAAAAGTGAACATTCCACTGCTGGATGCGATAAAACAAATTCTAAAATATGCAAAGTTCCTTAAAGAGTTGTGCACTAACAAGAGGAGACTAAAAGGGGATGAAAGAGTCAGCATGGGAAGAAATGTGTCAGCCCTCATACAGCCCAATATGCCGCAGAAGTGCAAGGATCCTGACACTTTTATTGTCCCTTGCACTATTAGAAATTTCACCTTCAGCAATGCATTACTTGATCTTGGTGCTTCCATAAACGTGATGGCTATATCAATCTACAGGTCTTTAAGCCTCGACTCTCTGAAGCAAACTAGTGTAGTCATTCAATTGGCAAATAGAAGCACTGCATTTCCTATAGGAGTAGTGGAGGACGTGTTGATGAGAGTGGATAAGCTGATATTCCCTGCATATTTTTACATTCTGGACATGGTAGAAGAGTCTAGCATGCCTACACTGATCCTTGGAAGATCTTTCCTGAAAACAGCGAGAAGAAAGATTGATGTGCACTCAGAAATTCTATCCATGGAGTTTGGAGACGATGTTGTGTAGTTCAACATCTTTGACGATATTGTGCATAGTGCATTTTATATAGATATTATTAATGTTTTAATTGAGAAGTTTTGTATTGATTTTTCTAATATTTCTAGTTGTACATGCACTGTAGGAGATTTGTGTAAAATTTGTGCTGAAATAGATTCATATTTAATAGCTGATGATGTTTCATGTGATGCAGCAGCAGGTTTGGAAAGCTCTAGCTTGATTACAGCAAATACACATACCCCTGAACCTGCTTAGATACATGCTGCAGAATTAGACTTTTGCACGAGGACATTTCCCTCTATTATGCAGCCACCTGCACTTGAACTGAAGCCTCTGCCCAAGCACTTGGAGTATGTATTTTTAGAGGCTGATAACAAGCTGCCAGTGATCATTTCAGCAGATTTGGATGCTGCACAAAAGGAGAAGTTGTTGCAAACTTTACCAACCCACATAAAAACAATTGGGTGGACTTTGGCAGACATTCCAGGAATTATCCCATCCACTTGTATGCACAAAATTCTGCTGGATAAAGATGCAAAACCTGTGAGACAGCCCCAAAGAAGGCTGAATTCCACCCTCTTGGAGGTGGTGAAGAAAGAAGTTGGCAAACTGTTAGCTGCTGACATGATATACCCAATCTCTGATAGAGAATGAGTGAGTCTGATTCATGTTATACCCAAGAAGACCGGCAGAATAGTCACAAAGAACCAATTTGATGAATTGATTCTGATCAAAATTCAGAATGGGTGGCGAGTCTGTATTGATTATAGGAAGCTAAATCAGGCGACTCGGGACTATTTTTCCCTGCCTTTTATTGATAAGATCTTGGAGCGGATAGAAAGAAAATTTCATTACTGCTTTCTAGACAGATTTTTTGGTTACTTTTAAATACACATAGCCCCAGAGGATCTGCATAAAACTACCTTCACTTGTCTTTTTGGTACCTTTGCTTATAGACGGATGCCATTTGGACTGTGTAATGCACCTGACACTTTTCAAAGGTGTATGATGAGTATATTTGCGGACTTTCTAGAGACCTCACTTGAAGTTTTCATAGACAACTTTACTGTTTATGAGTCTTTGTTTAATACATGTTTAGATAGCTTATCTAGGGTATTAGATAGGTGCATATAGTTCAATTTAGTTTTAAATTATGAGAAATGTCATTTTATGGTGACTAAAGGGACTGTACTAGGGCATGTAGTGTCAAGTAGAGGTATTGAGACTGATAGAGCCAAGATTGATGTAATTGTTTCTTTACCTTACCTTACTTCTATGAAAGAAGTGCACTCTTTTCTTGACCATGCAGGTTTCTATAGGAGCTTCATCAAGGATTTTAGCAGAATTGCGTCCCCATTATCTACCTTTTTGCAGAAAGATACTAATTTACTCTTTGATCAGACTTGGAAGGACACTTTTGATGAGCTGAAGAGGCGCCTCACTTATACTCCTATCATTCAACCTCTGAGTTAGGAGATTCCATTCAAGCTTATGTGTGATGTTTCGAACTTTGCAGTTGGTGCTGTCCTTGGTTAAAAAGTGGAGAAGCAACACCATGTCATAGCCTATGCTTCTCAAAAATTGGATAAAGCAGAAGCAAACTACACCATTACAAAAAAAGAACTTTTAGCCATTCTTTTTGCTTTAGATAAATTTCGTTCATATTTACTTGGCTCTAAAGTAATTGTTTTCCCTGATCATGTAGCTTTGAGGTACTTGCTTAAGAAGTCAGATTCTAAACCGAGACTAATTCGTTGGATGTTTCTTCTGCAAGAGTTTGACATTAAGATCAGAGATAGAAGTGGTGTAGAAAACTTAGTGGTAGACCATTTAAGCAAAATTCAGCAGGCACTAGAGGATCTCCCTATTAAAGACACCTTTCTAGAGGAGCAACTTTATCACATTGGAGGGCATGATCCTTGGAATGCAGACTTGGTGAATTATTTGTCTGCCAAAGAGATTTCTACATACTTTTCCAAAGCTCAAACTGCCAAGCTGAAGAGTGATTTCAAGTACTACATTTGGGATGATCCATACTTATGGAAGATGTGCAGTGACAAGATTATTAGACAATGTGTGCCCAAACCTGAATTCTAGTTTGTGCTTAGATTTTGTCATTCCTTGACTTGTGGTGGACACTTTGGACCTCAACGTATAGCCCGAAAGATTTTAGATTCTAGACTATATTGGCCTACAATGTTCCGGGATGCACACAACTTTTGTAAGACATGCAAGTGATGCCAAATGACTAGAAACATTTCGCGCCAGAATGAGATGCCCTAACTACCTCTCCTTTTCTGAGAGGTGTTTGATGTATGGGGCATAGATTTTATGGGTCCCCTTCCTATTTCATTTGGCTATACCTATATTTTTTTTGGCAGTGGCTATGTCTACAACTGGGTGGAGGCAAAGGCTATTCGTACTGATGATGCTTGTGTTGTAGATTTTGTGAAGTCACATATTTTCTGCAGGTTTGGACTTCCCATAGCATTAATCAGTGACCAGAGATCACATTTTTGCAATTGTACAATGGCTGCTTTACTTCGAAAGTTTGAGGTTATGCATAAAGTTTCTACACCATACCACTCTCAGACTAACGGACAAGCGAAGATCTCTAATTGGAAAATAAAGGAAATCTTGGAGAAGACTGTCCAATCCAATAGAAAGGATTAGAGTCTACGCTTAAGGGAAGCTTTGTGGGCTTACAAAACTGCCTGCAAAACACCCATAAGAATGTCTCCTTATTCGGGTGTTTTTGGCAAGGCATGTCATCTACTAGTAGAAGTGGAGCATAAGACATTCTGGGCAATCAAGCAATGTGACCTAGATATAAAGGCAGCTAGCTCACATAACAAGCTTCAATTACAAGAGTTGGAGAAGATTCGTAGAGAAGCATATGAGAACTCCAACATCTACAAAGAACGCACCAAGGCTTTTCATGATAAGCTAATAGGGCGTAAAGAGTTATACATTAGTGACAAAGTCCTCTTATATAATTCTAGACTTAAGTTGATGCCCGGTAAATTGAGATCTAGGGGGGATGGTCCCTTTCTTGTTATTAATATTTTTCCTTATGGTGTTGTTGAACTTTAGGATATGGGATTGCAAAGGAGCTTCAAGGTTTAATGGGCATCGGCTCAAGGTTTTTCATGAGAGCTTGGTTCATTCACTTGATTTGATAAGTTCATTTGTCAATTTGAAGTGTAAGGATTGATTTCCATTCTAGCCATGATATTTGAATTTAATGGGCTTTGTACATAACCTAATTTGTTTTAGGTCCCTTATAGTTTGATTTTGTGATTTGCCCCGGAGGGCAAAATCTTAAGTGTAAGGGAATTTGATGTAATATATTTTATATTTACATTTAATATTTTATTTTGATTAATAAACACTTTTCATTTGCTTTATTTTTATATTTTTTTACTATTTTCTACTTATTTGAATAAATTGGGCCTATTACAAATAAATGCTTTAATTTCGTATTTTCGGTTATTCTGACCTTTGACTACTCTTTTGGTCATAACTATTTCTACAGATATCATTTTTGGCTGATTCTAGTTGCATTGGATTTTACACATCCAAGGCTTCAAAATGCATCTATAGATTACTGGATCTGGAGTTATTTTTGATTTTTTATGATTTTTTTTAAGCTGAGGCCTGCATTTTGACCACTTAATTTACCCTAATCAAAACCTATAAATAGACTAATAAGGTTCTGAATTAGGGAGATGATTAGACACTTTGAGATTTTGAGATTTGGCCTAAATAAGAATCTTTATTTTTACTTTCTCTCAAACTCTCTCGTTCTTTTCTCATTCTTGCATGGGTTAAGCGTTTCAATGGAAGGCTAAACATCTCGTTCAATCCCCAGAATCCAAACACTGTAATTTTGACTTAAGTTCTACGCTAATTGCTCTGAGTTTGTTCTCTTTTTCTCTCTAATTTCAAAATTATTTATTGCAATTGTGATTGACTTTTCTGTTGTTAGATTTCAAATTAGGACTCGATTGATGCTCTAATTTGATAATTAATACCAATTTAGTTAAATGATTATTTGATTTAATTCATAACTCTATTCAATTAGGTTATTCGATTGAATTAATAATTGAATTGAGTGATTGTTCGAACACAGATTTAAATCTTTAGATACTAGATAGTAAGAGTTACACGTAATTGGTATTCTGTGGATTGATATTTCTTAATTCATTTTTTACTCACTTTAATTCTATTCGTAATTTAATTTGATTAATTACAATTTTCAAAACCCTAAAAACCTTAATTGTATTTTTTAAAAGAAAACGTAAAATTGAATTTGACTGAGAATATGTCTCTAGACCTAGGTTTGACTCTATACTATAAAATCTTTAGAAAACATAGTTGTTTTGATAGCAACTCGGCAATTGTCTATCAGGGTTCCTTCCAGCCTGTGATCATAAACTAGTAGAGCTCCTTTGAAATTACCGTTACTATGTCCACACAACAACAACACGTGATGCAGAACAATAAGTAGTAAGTAGCAGCACGACATGTTCAAATCTGAAATGTTTTTGATTGGTGACAGTGATACTAATGTTGAATCGGGATAAAAAAAACAACTAAGTTTCCCTAAATTTTGCAATATAGAGTTCAACTTAGGTCGATTGATAGAGATACAATTCAGTTTTCTTTTCACTTTAGTTTTGTTTATTGAAATACAAATTGCACAAGTTATTGTTTGGGAATTTTTTTACCAGTTTAAGGAAAATATAGAAGTATCTAACAAAGTATAAAAACATCGATCCACAGATCCTCATAAACATGCAATACAGATTATCACAATAGCTTAAAATTCAAATATGAAATTGAACAACAATCAGTGCAATTAAACAATTCAATCAAATAGTAAATCAAACCAATCTACGAATTAAATTGAAATATCACCCCACTAATTCATTAAAATCAATCAAATTAAGCTATCAATCAATTACCTAATTCAGTGTTTAACTCACAAAAATGCATATCATAATCATGATTAACAAATCCAAAATTAAAAGAAAAAGAATAAAATTAAATTTGATGATTGTGAAACAAAACTCAAACTATAATTTGTATGATCTTAGGAACTATGAAACGATTCAGGAGTTCACCTTCTATAGCAGTGAAATTCATGATTACAAAGAAAAGCATAATGAAGATTCAAAGGAAACAGAAGAAGAAATATTAAAAAGAGGAGAACCCTAGAGTTGAGTCTTGAAATTCACTCTCAAAGCTCGCTCTATCGCTCTAAGAGTGTGGAAAAGGAAAAAAATAATAAATGTCTCAAAAAATCTGAGTTTCTGACTATTTATAACTTTTTGTGCTTCTGGTGTAATTACTTTTTGCCCAAAAAGTGGTTACGTGTATAGTGTACAGCACTGAAGTAGACACTTTTCATGATAAAAGTGACTATGTGCAAAGACTTTTGCATAATAAGCTTCAGTTGTGACCACTTTTGACATAAAAAGTAACTATGTGTAGGATAACTCTTCAACTAAGCTTCTTTAACTTTTTATCCTAATAATGACATCAAAAGTAGCTACGCGTAACACGTTCTTACTTCAAAGTCTATGTAGTGTTCATTCTTGACCTTCAAAGTAGCTACGTGCGCTAGATATTCCCTTCCCAAGCCTCTAATGTGACTACCTTTAACATTGAAAGTACTTACATTCAACATATTTGACTCCCTAATTCTCTAGAATGCTTACTTTTTGCACTGAAAGTGACTACGTCCATTTATCAATTGATTTTTAGACCTCTAAAATTTTCACTTTTTGCACCCAAAGTGATTACATTAGACCCCTTTTACCTCTTAAAGCTTCTAATTCATGTGTTTCTCTTGAAATTTCCTGCAAACTAATTCAATCAATCAACATTTACAGAAAAATTCTATTCAATTTAAATAGATTGGGTTACTAAAATAAATTTTAAATTATTTGAACAATTATATATTTTGGTGAGATTTTCATCTTTCAAATTACACTTTCCTATTAAAAAGATAAAACTAACTAAAAATCCAACAAAATATAAATTCATCAATTGGCACTATGTTGGCTAGTACGAAGGTCCACCACATCTGAGTAAGGGATTTCATGATCTCTTTCAAGATTTTGAGTACTTTGCGTGATAGATTTACTTCATATGATCTACAAGCACAAAGTCTGGGCTATCTTATGATCACTAAAGTCGCTTAATTGCCTTTTCATCCATAGATATGTGCAACGGTACGTTACTCAAGAACCACATAGGATTTCCTAAAAATTTATTGATCGCATTTCTATCACATGGCACCTAGTGTCCACAAACTTTAGACCTCCTATCTATTACACCTATTTGGGTAGGCCAATCATTTGCATAGAACTCTTTCACAATTGCTGGGTCAAATTTAGGCATATTCTCATGAAAATTAGGAAACTCACCTAGACCTAGGATGACCTTCCTCTCTGGGATGAAGGACCATTTTTGGATAGTCTTATAATGCTTTTGCCTTTCTAGACTAAACTCTCATTTTAGTCCTCGAGAGAGTTTGAGTCCAGCATTTTAGTCTTTGAAAAATTTAAAATGTCATGTTAGTCTCAAACTTCCTTCTCCATCATTTATTTTAGTCCCTAGACTCAGACTTCGTTAAAAAACATTAAGAGAGAGTTGACTTATCACATTAAGTGTCATGTCAAATGTCTAGGTGGCAAGAAATGACGTCATTTGGGAAATAAACGTAATAAAACACATTTAATTGTAAAAGTAGAGTTGTTCTGGTAACATGAATTTGGATGATATTATAGCATATACACTTAGGGTTCTTCACAAATATAATCTTAGATCTCAAATTATTATACTCTCTAACAATAAAGGAGAAATGCCCCTTCATATCGCTGCTAGGTATGGACAGTACAACATCACAAGGTTACTAATTGAACATGCCAAGCCTTTTCTTCTTGACATTAAGCATGAGATAGGAGCAGACATGAATTACATTAGAGCCAAAAATTGCGATGGGAACATTGCATTATATGAAGCACTACGTAATCATCACATTAATGTAGTCAAGGTTTTGCTACAAATAGATCCTCGTTATTCCAAATCTACTAATAAGGCCCCAAAATTAGAACGGCACTGCATCTTGTCAGAACAAATCGAGGGTTCCTGCACTTTTAAAGTGATGGCACTATTGGAGTTTCTTGGTGGGTTAAATTAGCAAACTCTGAAATTATTGGATCTGAGTGGTAATAACATTTCTCCTCCTTTGCTTGAGTTTAGGAATGGCTTGAAACTTGTTGTTGTAGGGAATCCTTTATTCAATGGTGGCTCTAAAGTTCCTTCCTCATGGGCAACAACCCTTCAACCAAAGTCATGCAAAAACAATGTTATTTTAAATTATTAACGGTGTTTTGCCACGTTCATTTCCTAAATGATGTTGTTTCTTGCCACCTACATATCTGACATGACACTTAACATGATAAGTCAGCTCTCTATTATTGTTCCTTAGTGGAGTATGAGTCTAGAACTAAAATGAATGACAAAGGAGGAAGTTGGAGACTAATGTGATATTTTTAAATTTTCAGGGACTAAAATGCTGGACTCAAACTCTTTCAAGGACTAAAATGAGGATTTAGTCTGCCTTTCTACATCGTTGAAGAGGTTTCTGTTTAGTGGGCTCT